CATCTGTTGATGGACATCTTGGCTCTTTCCATATAAACTGGGCATTGTGAACAGGGCATTTGACATATGCATTAGCTTATTTGGGAAACAAAATTTACCACTGTTGATTTTTAAAGTCCCACTTTACTATCTTTATATCTAAATTATCTTGAAATTTCATGTACTTATTCATTTTCCTAGTATTTGCATCATTTTGCTAAACATGGTGTTATTTTGATAGCTCACTCCTTCCCCCTTCTTTTTCTGGGGTCCTTTAAAACTCCCATGCCTGTACCTTTAAGGGAAGATTAGCAATTGTTTTTAACTTGCCTGCTTTTTGGTGGCCTTTAGAGAATGGCACACATGGTTTTCATAGTTGTAGTTTCCTACTGTATGACTTATTTGCCTGCAGGACCTAGTGGGAATGAAAATGTTTTGACTTACATTCTGTGGAATGTACTCCTTCAGCCATCCTTTCTTTAAATTCTCATCTTCCTTCATTACCAGAACATTTGTTGTACAGGTTTTCCCTACATCTTCCCATACCTTAATTTTTTTCTTTGACCGATTACATCTAACAGGCTCAGTTCTTAGGCCTGTGCCTTTGCTAGGTCTGTACTTTGTTCTTTGGGGAACTCATTTACTTTACATCTTCAATTATCTCTACTTCAGACCCCTCTCAAATGACAAGTGTTAGTTTGTTTCCTTGAACTCAGCAATTTGTTATTCCCTCCCTGTCCCACAAACTCCCAGTTTGTTATGATTTTCTGTCACCCAGTTTCAAAAGTTATGGAGTCATCAATTTTTTTCTTTTCCTTACTCATATGTAGTCATCATGAAGTAGTGATTTTTCTTTGAAAAAATACTTTATATCTATCCCTTCTATTTATTCTCTTTCCATCACTTATACTCCAACTCCAACACCTCTTCACTAGATTTACTACTTACGATGTTTCTCTTCAGTCTATTTTGTACAATTACAAGATTAACACTTTGGTACTGCAAACTTATGCACTTAACTCTCCTTCCCAAATACCCTAGAAGACTTCCCAGTTGCCTGAATAAAATATAAATTCCTGGTTTGTTTTTCATATTCCTTCAGAATCTTCTTCTAACCCTCCGTTTCAAAATTATACTCCAGAGTGCAGTCATGAGCCTACTGCAACAGTAAAATTGCTTACTTCTCCTAGAGCACAGTGTGGCAGTCTTGAATTCCTTTGCCTTTTTTGTACTCTTGCTACCTCACTCAGTGTATCAATCTTATCCATCTTTTAAGACACATATACCACCATTCCCTTCCCCAGGAAGATATCCCCTTTATATTCTCATCCCAAGAGGTTGCTAACTCATACCATCCATCTAAACTACATTTTGACAGATTTTTCTTTTAAAAAATTGTTCTGTGTACACATATCACTATATGTGTTAAAAGCTATTTTATTGCAGGGAGTCAGATATATTTTTCTGTACCCCTTATTGCTAGAACAGTGCCTTATGAACATTTAGCCTACCATGAGGAGCTTTGATTGACTGATTGGTTAGGCTGTCACTGAGTTAAAAGTTGTAGAAGGAAATTATACATTTTTTTAGTCAAAATGTTTTATTTCAGAAAGTATCCAGTTTCTTCACTAAGGCACAAAAGTATCAACTTAGAAAACAAAGAATTGGAAGCTGAGATTTGTGGCCAAGAGGACTAAAAATGGTGAAACGTTTATAGTAGACATTCTGTAGATGTATAAATTAAAGGGATTCTATAATTATGATCCATTTAAGCAATAACTGGGTTGTGACTTGTATCTGGAGGATGGGAATCATAATAATCAGTTGACTTATGAACTTTCATTTTATTTGCCCTTACTCTTTCCATCTTTTTGTTGTACTTTCTTCCCTTACTTGTCTTTGATCCTTACTGAACTTTTTTTTTACTCTTAAGTTCTGATTTTTTCTTTCCTTTAACTTCGCGCTTTCCTTCATCACTTTTCTTCATAGCATCATTTTCTTCTGTATCTGTCTTCTTCCTTGCATCTCCCTGCTTTCCTTGATCCTCAGAATTCTCTCTCTTTACTCGAGTCCCTTGAACTTGTGGTAATTCAGACTCACTATTGTCTACTGGGGACTTCTGTCCTTGGGGTATTCCAGCTTCACTATTCTCTACCTGGGACTCCTGGCCTTCTGGTATTCTGGTGTCACTCTTTACTTGAGATCCCTGTCCTTGTCTTATTGCAGACTCACTCTTCTTTACTTGAGATCCCTGTCCTTGTCTTATTCCAGACTCACTCTTCTTTACTTGGGATCCCTGTCCTTGTCTTATTCCAGACTCACTCTTCTTTACTTGGGATCCCTGTCCCTGTGGTATTCCAGACTCACTCTTCTTTACTTGGTCCTCCTGTTCTTGTGGTATTCCAGTATCATTCATCTCTACATGGGCCACCTGTTCTTGTGGTATTCCCATGTCACTCACCTTTACTTGGTCTTCCTCTTTTAGTATCCTGGTGTCACTCTCCGTTTCCCTGACCTCCATTTCTATCTTGCTTTTCTCCAACTCAGTGCCTTTTGCTTTGCTTTTTGACTCTGGTTTGTGCCTTGATGTCAAGGATTCATCAGAATCTGTGATTTCTTTCTTTAATGTTTTCTTGTTTTCTTCTTGGCTGCTCTCAGACTTTATAGTGGCTCCATTTTTTAGAATCTTGGCCTTGAAATCTGATTTTTTTGCAAGTTCTGCATCCATGTAACCTGGAAATATAACTGAGCACACAACAAAAGTGCACAATTTAGATATCAAGTACTTTCTCTTTATTCCTACTTTTTCCCCTGATATTGGTTTATTTTTTGTCTTAAAACTGAAAAACTGGAGATAACTTGAGATTTCCTGAAAATATAAAATGATGGAACTCTACATTTAAAATTATATAAGTATTGATAATATTCCAGACTCTCTTCAATAAATTGGAAGATTATTGAAAGAAGAGGTAAAATGTATTACAAATGAACTGGCTGGCATACATTCAGTACATTATGGCTGAAGATTAATGCTTAATAGCTAAAGGAGGATGTATTCTGAAAAGAAATGGAATTTATTTTTAGAAAAAAATTGTGCAAAAAAGCAATAATTGTTTCTTAAAATGGAAAAAACTCAAAATATGCTTTGGATGTTGAATATAAGAATGTCTCATTATTCAAAAGTATTAATAGTACTAGCTGGTAATCACTGGGTGCTTATCATATATCAGGCGCTCACTGTTCTGAGCATTTTATGTAAAGTATTAACTCATTTAATCCTCACAACAACCATATAGGGCAGGTACTATTATTATCCCCATTTTACAGATGAAGAAACTGAGGTACAGAAAGTTTAAATGAATGTGAATATGCCTTGGAGTCAGTAAATGGTGGAGCTGGGATTTGAACCTGAAAAGTCAGACTTCAGAGTTCATTCTTAACCAATGGCTTAGACTGCTCCTTATGATACCTGCAAACTCACTTTGCAAAAATTTCTGGTCCCTTTTTCCATGTTTAGGTAAGTCAGCTTTACTATGTCTCAATTTCTGTGTGATCTAATAAAACCTGAATTTTTAATTTTAATTTTAATTTAATTTTTTTTAAGATTTTATTTATTTGACAGAGAGAGAGACAGCGAGAGAAGGAACACAAACAGGGGGAGTGGGAGAGGGAGAAGCAGGCTTCCCACTGAGCAGGGAGCCTGATGTGGGGCTTGATACCAGGACCCTGGGATCATGACCTGAGCCGAAGACAGACACTTAACGACTGAGCCACCCAGGTGCCCCCAAACTGAAATTTTTAGCTTCTGCTTTCTTTTTTCTTGTTTTAGTGATTTGGTTCCCTGATTAAGAAAAAAATGTTACCAGGAAGAATTCTGTGGGTTCTTGCTATGAGCAGTAGCATACCTTCCTTTAAGAAAACCTATTTAAATATTTAATGTAGTAGAAAGAATACTGAATTTAAAAGCTGAATCAGAACACTTGGGTTTAGTATTCTTGCTAGCTGGGTTTATTTGGGTAAATCCCAAAGACTCACCTTCGTTATATTTGGTTTGCTCTGCCGACTTTGCAGAATTATTTAAGGATTCTAGACAAATGTTAAGGACCATCGCTTATACAGACAGACTGGTTCAAATCCTTGCTTCATACCTAACTAGCAGGTGAGCTTACTTAGCAAACTGTACTTTGTTATCTGTAAAATGGGTGCAATAGTAGTAGCTACTTCACAGAGGTGTTATGAGAATTAAATAATATTATCTAAGTAAAGCACTTAAGGCAGTGCATGGAGCATAGTAAGTAGTCCAATAAATATTGGCTATTACTACTACTAAATGAGATCATACAGGCAAAAATTTTCTGATCTGTCAAGAAAAGACATTCTTAGTTCCAATCCAGTTCTTTAGAGGAATGGTTAATTGCTTTACAGGAAGATTTCTTGCTTAAAAATTAACATTTTTTTTTCATAGAAATAGCCTTTTGGTATGTTTAGGGCTTGATGTCTGAAATATTGATGCCCACATAACCGAATTACAAGTTGCAGAAGGTGAGACACACCTGCATTAGGTAAGAAGGTAACTATGAATCAAAAGAGATGCTGTAGGTATCTTAAAAATAACATTAAGAACCTTACAATAATGCTTTCTGAACCTTTTGTGTATTTTTTCCTCCCTAATGATTATTTAATAAGACATTTTATTCTAGATAAACCCACTTCCAATTTACTAATGAAAATCAGTAGTAATATATCCTAAGCATTTTTGTACTTAAAAAGAGAGTTCAGAATATTTTGAAATCTGACAGTACTACCAGTGGACACTTGTTTTCTGGGAGGATGTGGTGTGGTGTGGAGAAGGGCATGTTTTTCCACTGAAGCTTCCAACCTTACAAATTTGGTGGAATGTGCTCCTAAACAAGCTGACTTTTCATAATATATGAATATTTTTAGTTTTACCATCTCTTGGGAATAATTTTTTTCATATTTACTACTGTGTATACTACTGCAGGACCCATTTTTAAGCTAACTTTACCTCCTAAATTATATAGATTTTGTTAATCAAAGGTAAGTATTCTAGGATTTAGAGAAACAATGTTTATTCTAGCTACACTTTTCCTCATTTTATAGGATTTTAAAGACTTTTATTCTTTTTCCCACCAAACTAAAAAATACGTCTAGTCACTTCTAATAGTATCTTCATATCCTTGGTTGTTTTAATATCTTTGCTGTATATTTTCCATCTTGAACTTAATTGCATTGTAGAAGTAAGCTACAGATCATTATTCCACCAAATCCTAAGTTCTTCCTTCCCTTCTCTCAAATTTCCAGATAGTGCATAAATCTTTTTTTTCCCTGGGATCTCATAATCTTTATAATATAAAGATTTGTAAACCCTGGCTGAAAGTCCATTTATTGCACACAGTAGGCTATATGGCAAAATTCTAATTATAAGGGAAATATTTAATCAAGACCTTGGCAATCATTATAATGTATTCAGGCTACTTAAAGATTTTAAGCTAGATTAATTTTTGTTAAAGCTAAAAGATATCATGAGTTAGCTACCAGAGTAATAATTCTAATTATATGATACTTAAAATAACTAGACTATGGGCCTTATTAGAAAATGATTCCTATGAAGTTCTTAACCCAGTGGCTGTCAGGGAGAGCACACTCAGATCTAGACCATAAAGATCTGTTAAGCATTAGAGGGATGACTCATTGTAGATCTCAGTCCCTGATTTAACATTTTTAAAAAAATCATACGTGGAGATGAGAAATTAAGAGACTTAACTTGAAAGGGTTATGAAGTTTGATGAGCTGATCTGTCTCATATCTTTCTTTGAACAATGAATTAAACCTTAATCTCTTTTTGCTAAAAATATCAACTGGGAAGAATATGTTTGAAATATTGTCAACAAGAATATATCTTACAAGAAAAAGTTTTAAAAGGTTGAACTGACCTTTTTCCTGGCAATTTAAAAAAACCATAGTCATTGAAAATGAATTCACTTCCAGGGAGGGCCTTAGCCTATGATGCCTTCCCAAAGCCCTCTTTCTTTTTGTAAAGAAAACATACACACTCTTATTACTTTCCCCATGTGGGGAGGTCATTTGAGAGAGGCAGATACATCACGACTGCTCTGATTGTGTATTATTTTTTGTACTGTGAATGCAAAGAAAACAATTATCCCTTTCAACTTCCCCTCCTGCCACTCACAAACCCACTCTCTTAGTGTGAACTGAGAAAGAAGAACAATTAAATATAAAGATGCATTTTGTGTTTGTTAGTGTTTGGAAAGTTCAAGATGCTTGAAATATATCTTACTAAATTTAAGTTTTACTTGCTTCTTATGGTTGTATATTTACAGAGTTTTAAGAATTATTATTCTGTTTCATATGATTTTCTTGAAGAGCTGAGGCATTAAATAATCCTGATGGGAAATCTGAATTTAGATAACAGTTAAAAGCCAAACATTAATCTAAATAGGATGTCTTTTATTTTTAAAACTATTCTTTTGTGTACATTTAATTATATATCTTCTCTAGTGGATGTATATTTGCATTGACAAACATTTTATTTATAGATATGGTTTCAGGACTAATCACAAAAAAGGCCTCTGTGGTTCAGTATAGAAGGCAATGTGTTGGCGTGGAAAGAGTATGTACTTCCGAGACAGGAAGTCCTGGATTTAGATCCTGACAGTGCTGTTTACCAACTCTTTAACCTTGGGCAAGTGTGAGCAAATTTACTGATCTGTAAAGTGGGTAATAACAATAGCTAGCAGACAGGCTAAGAATAAGAGATAATGTTTTTGAAAATGCCTAGCACCGTGCACAGTATATAGAAGGGCTCAATACCTACTATTCCTCAAAAGTAAAGTTACTTAGAAGGCAAGAGAAAATAAAGTTTTTTCTTAACTAGTTATTTTTTCTGGTAATATGATTCAGTGGACCTTCACTTATAACCACAAAAAGAGTTCCAAATTAGCAGCAAAAACTCACAAAATTTAGAAACCAATCTTTCTTTCATTATAGTTTGCTGGGAGTTAGAAAGGAGATTCTTTTTCAGAGCCTAGAAGATGGCCAGAGATTATGGCATCCTTTTGTATGAACTTCATCTCCTCTACAGCTGTCTCTCCAAAAGAGTTATTTAAAATATTAGAAGATTCTGGAGAATAGGAACATTGAAAATGTCCTTAGAAACACAAGTCTCTATTTTGGGAGTGGAAACAGCAAAACCAGAAAATATAAACAATGTAAAATATCACAGTTGAGAATAACTTACCCATAGGAGATAGTGCTAAAAATAAAACACAAAAGATCGATCAGTGGGAATTTTCTAACTCAAGGAAAATCCCACTCCCAATAATAATACCCTTTGTAGGTGAATGCAGAAGCAGCATCTCCAAGTACTATAAAACCCTCTGTTTCATCCTCAGGAGTGCTGCTGGCCAACGCTCCACATCCTACTTTACAGAGACAAGTTTCTTTAGGATGCCATTTGTTAATGCATGATAGAATCCTTGCGTAGGTAATATCTATTCTACTAAATTTCAAACTATTGCATTTCCTACTTTCATTGTTCTCTCATAAGTCAGTTTTTTACCCACTCCCCTTTAGATCAGTTGGAAAAATATGTAATGTTGGCCAATTATCAAAATCACCATCTTGTCCTGACACTTACTCTTTTTGTCAATTTTAGGTGATTTTCTTTTTTTAGTAAAAATTATCCATTGTCAGATGATAGCACAAGGAAAACAGGCTCCCTCGTGATAAACTAGCTGGGAATTCTTGCTACCAATAATCTTTGGTAGAAAATCACCAGAATTATGAGACAAGACCATTATATTTTGTTCCAAAAGGGAAATAGTAAAGAAGAAATCAAAGTATGAGAAAATAACTTATTTAAGAAATATTGACTACTCTAAGGTAGAAGAACATGAAATACAAAAAAATTGGGTAACAAAAACTCAAAGGTCCTAGACACAGAAATAGGTAAGGCAAAGAAATGATCCAAACTTACTGATTTTTCCAGAGCTGTCCACTGAAAGAGATAAGGAAAAAACATCAGCAGGTGTCGGGCTTTCCCTTCTTACACAAAGCCACACTCCTCCGCACTGGATGGGCAGAATCTGTGTCATGAACAGCTAAGTTCCTTTTATTTAGATGTAGGGAACCTTCCTTATCCCTCCCCTTCCTCTTGGCCTGTTATTGTTTAGAAAGATCTTGTGATTAGCTATTTTATGAAAATATTTTTATTAAATATATTTACATATTGTACAAATTCAAGGTGTTCAACATGTCAATTTGGTACATTAGTATATTATAATATGATTGCCATTGTAGCAATAATTAGAACCTCTATGACATTACATAATGATCCTTTCCTGTGGTTGTAACCATGAAGTTCTAGTCTCTTGGCAAGTTTGGTGACTGTCATACAATATTGTTGTCTATATTCACTATACTATGCATTAGATCTCTAGGACTTATTTACTACTTATAAATATGTACCTTTGAATAGCACCTGTCCTATCCCCCCACCCACAATTCCCTAGTAACCCCCATTTTACTTTCTTTTTAAAATAAATTTGGCTTTCCAGATTCCACATATAAATGATACCATACAGTACTTGTCTTCCCCTGTCAGACTTACTCATTCAGCTTATGCTCGTGTTTTTGCAAATGGCACGATGTCCTCCTTTCTGTTGAAGAATATATCCTGTGTGTGTGTGTGTGTGTGTGTGTGTGTGTGTGTGTGTGTGTGTGT